TTTTTTTGTCCGCGCGTTCGATGTCGAAAAGCGTCCTCAGCTCAGCGTCCAGTAAGAATTCCGGCGATTCTCGACTTCAATTGAAAGATATTAGCTCGCCAGTAGGTGACCGTTGTGTGTTAGGCGTGCGTTTGAGTTTGTCTCCGGCTGCTGAGAGCAGCGATGTAATGGTTAGTTAGTCAGGAGGTGATCGTTCGGGCAACATTCAGCCCAGCCAGTGTCACGCATGGCAAACAGGGCACGGTTAAAATACACATGTTCACCCTATTGAGACCAGTTGTTATGGTGGAAACTTTGGCCGCTTTGCGGGACAGGAAAATATCATCAGATCGGAATGAAATTTTGCACAGAACCTTGTACCATAGTATCGACAAGAATTCCGACCCGGCCCGACGAATCCGACAAACTTTTTTTTTTGCCATGAAAATGTGGACCACCCTAGTGCGCCTGATACTCCAAAGCGCCTTGAGTGTGGAAATTACGGTAGTTACACAGAATAAAGTCATTACTTTTTCATGATCTGTTTTTTTGTTAATGAGATTATGTTTAGTTTGGTCTCATGTTATGTCATTTCTTGTGGTTCATGCATTCTCCTGCATATTAGTTTGTTTTGTTGTGTTTTGTTTTGTTGTATTGTGTTTGTTTTCACTTGTGCTCGTGAACCTGATCAATTGTGACTTCCAGTCAGCTCCCTTAGTAACTTGTCTTGTCCAGGTGTTCCTCATCTTTGTCAGTTTACTTGTATTTAGTTCCCTGGTCTCTTCCCGATTTTGTTGGTTCATTCATTAACCAGCTTTTGAAGTAGTGTGTCCTGTTGCGGTGTCTGGTTTTGTGTCTTTGTTACTCAAGTCTTGTTTTGTTGGACATAAGTAATTTGAGCAGCCATATTTTACACCAGCCTTGTTTGCCTTTTAATTTTGAGAAATTAATCATTTTTGTTCGTGTGCATTGTGCAGTCCTGCCTTGCTTTGACTGCTCTCCTGCATATTGGACCATTGGCTTTCCTATACCACCACCAATACCCCCAACCATAGCGACCATCTTGTCCCTAAACTTTCTAATGGATGTGTTGTGTTGCCATGATGTGTTGCAAGTTCATCCGGTTCCTACGATATGTGCATGTCACAAAGTAAAACCGTTATGCTATTTTATGTAGTCGTTCACACTCATGAAATTGTAATGATTGATTGAGACCAAGTTTGC